GAGCGCTCAAGAGCGCCCAAGGTCGCCCCAAGAGGCGATTTTGTGGGCGGGCAGCGCTAATTAACGCTCCCCTCTTTTTTGATCGACGTCCTCCAAGATGGTCCCAACAGCGGCCCTAAAGCTCCCACTATCCGTGCACGAGGGCCCCAAGAGGCGCCTCGACGGCCCAAAGGGGCCTCAAAGAGGCATCCAAAAAGGCTCCCAAGAGACCCTTAAGGGGATTCAAGAAGATCCCTGATGCACCCAATACGCTCAAAGACGGCCTTGGGTCCGCCAAGATGCCCCCCCGAGACTACCCCAGGGGTTTCCAAAAAGCTTCCAAAAGACATTCGAGGAGGAGACTCCGAGAAGCATTCAAGAGGCTTCCAGCCCATCTCTGCGAAGTATTCACGAGGCTTCTGGCTCTTCTGTTCGACCTTTTCCTCCTCCTCCTCCTCCTCCTCCTCCTCCTCCTCCTCCTCCCTCCTGCCTCTTCCCCTTCCCCCACCTCCTCCTCCTCCTTTTCCTCGTCTTTTCCATCGTTCTCCTCCTCCTTCCTTCCCCTCGCCGTCCTCCTCCTCCTCCTCCTCGTCCTCCTCCTCCCCCCTCGTCCTCCTGCTCCTCCTGCTCTTCCTCCTCCTCTCTCTATTCCACTTCCTCTTCCTCCTACTCCTCCTCATCTTCCTCCTTGTCCACTTTCTCTTCTTCCTTCCTCCTCCTCGCCCTCCTCCTCCTCCTCCTCCTCCTTCTCCTCCTTCTTCATTTCCTCCTCGTTCTTCCCCCTCTTGGGGTACGACGGTTTCTCCAGTCCTTTGTTCTTATGTATGCTCCTCCACGTCCTTGATCATGGCAACTCGACTGGGCTGGTGCGGATACGCGAAGCGCCAATCATTTCGAAATATGCTTCCTCGATGTCCCACGCTCTGCTGACTCGAACCCTAGACGATCGGTTCGACGCCAAGGGAGCCTAGTGGGTCCGGGATGATGCACTCTGCCTTGATTGCATCAGAGAGGTCAACTCGTCTTATTGTACAGCGCTCTCCTCGTAATCCTCTCAGTCCAGCGTATACAGTTCGATCAAGTGGTGCCTCTTGGAGAAGTTTTTTTCAGCGAAGCTCTGCCTGGCTGGGTCTACCCAAATCCTGCCAGGCGGGCGCTGTGCCACAGTGAACTAGAGAAAGAATGACCAGAGGAGAGCAGTGATCGATTGTGAACGAGGTATGCGACAGTGGAGGGCGGAGGAGAGCATGAGGATGCTGCAAATCACGCAAACGGCTGTATGCCTGGTGCAAGTCTTGCACCCGCGCCGCCTCTGTGCTGGAAGTTGGAGGCGACTGGGGGACCTGAGCTGCACAAGCCCAAAGAAAATCGATCAAGACGAAAGAATGACGGCAAACTCGCTCACACAATCCGTCCCCGTATCCCTCCAGAGGTCGAAGCTGACAATTTTTCCGAGCCGCGCCTAGCCGTGGCGACGCCAAGGCACTCTATCCCCCCCTGCCTGCTGGCCAGAACCAAATGCTGGGTCACCTCGGCCCCCCATGCCGGCTTCAAGCTGGAAGCGTGTTGCGGGGCCTGCGCCTGTGGCCTTCAGGCCCAGGAGTACAGCTGCAGGGGCTGGGGCATGCCTTGTCGCTGCAGTACAGGATTCGGCCTGCCCTAAGGAACGATACATAAGGAACGAAGCCCTTTTTTCCAAGGAACATCAGGGAGGCTCGCCGCCAAAAAGGTAGCGGAACGCATGCAAACCAAAGGAACGACCGAGCCCGTTTTGAAAAGAAAATGTTCCTTAGTCAAGCCGTGCCCTGTAAGTGCTCGGACAGTCAGCTCTGCGCTGAGGCAGAACCAGACTCGCGGCCCTGCCCGCCTCGAGACACGGAGGGAAGGAGGGGAGGGACAGGAGGATGGCGAGACGGAGGGTTCTGCGCCGCATGGAAGAAAAACGTATCGAAAGAGAGCGAGCGATCCCTGGGCAAATTCTGATAACTTTCTGGACAACACTGCCCAGACAACCCTCCTGGGACATTTCTTATCTGCCACCGTGCCCTGAGGCACGAGTTGGAGTGTCCTCAGGTCCCTTCGAGTTCTGTGAATTGAAGTCTGCAAATATTTTGCAACTGGCCCACAGCCCGGAGTTTCGGGCGCTCTCGAGCGCTCCTGGGGGGTCGCCGCGTGACTTTTCGAATGCCCATGAGCACGGACAACTACCAGAACGTCGGCATTTTCACAGACCTGTGCAACTTCGACATAAGGTACCTCGACCAACTCGTTTGGCATGACTAACCAAAGGCGCGATCAAATATAACAGCGAGAACATGAACTACGACACGCTCAAGGCTACGTCGGAGAAGTACCCCCAACGGCTGCGCAGGGAGGACGGCGTACACATCGAGGGATACTACAACGAGGGGAGCAAGACCGACGACCGCCACCCCTTCAAGTTCACCAAGATCATGGATCTGTCGTACCACAAGTACATCACCGGCGACAACCAGACCGAAGGCATCGGCATCAAGCACGGTGACGTGGTGCACTGGAACATGGGCATCAAACGCAAGAAAGACGGCAACACGGAGTAATGAGTGCTACGTTTTGTATTACTATACGGGCAGTGTATCAATACCTCGGACACGCACCCTCCCCTAAGGCTCTCCTCCCATCTATGTGCATACCAGGAAAAACCCTCGGTCATACCCGTCGCCGTGGTACACTTGGAAATAGTTGTGCATCATGATCCTCAAGTCTGGCTCCCTGCTCCACCAGTGCCCAGGTAGACCAGGAACAGCATGGAAGATCCCCAGGAGGTCAGATGAGTGTCCATCATCAACAAGTCACTAGAACACGAAGGACCTGGTACAGTACTTCAACAACTTGCATCCTTGCGTTCACACCTCTGGGCGCTCGAAATACCAACGAAAGATATTATGGTTACATTGGATGCCGCGCAAACTGTTGCACACTCAAAACAGAGGCTGTACACACGGATAAACACCTAGGATGTAATCATTACTGCACGCTTATGGTACTGGTGCGCACTACAACCTTGCACACACCGACGATAACATTGCCACGCGTACACACTGCGTCATACAGATACCTACTGCAACCGTCGGCTTGCACTTACATATCTCTACGACCTGGAACACTGTCCCAGTGTACGCTACATGGTCGAATGAGCAGGCCTGCAGATGCAGACTCGCAGGTTACACATACATGCCAAGAGGCTAGGGTATGGCCACTTGACCTCCCATTCGATAACACATGGATGTAAACATATGTGCAAGACGCAAGTGGGCTACAATGGGGACAGCTAGTTACTTCAGGGTCGCGGACGTCAGACAGGCTCTACGCCACTGCTTGAAGTACACCAATGAGAACGACCAAGGCATCAACGTGTACAAGGCCAAGTGCGGAGAGGCTGCTATGTACGATGTGCAACCAGATAAGAGACCCGAACGACCACGTCACCTCCAAGTACCACCTACTCCACTTGGACAGGACTACTGGCTACCCACGAGGGCGTACGTTACCATCGAAACTACTCAATGGCCAAAGGCGATACACTTTCCAATCTACTTACCCTTCTACCCAGAAGGGGAGCTCTACGTCAAACTGGGAATAACTACCACACCGACCATTATGGACCTGAAAAAAGCGGTCATCCAGAAACTATACGGCACTAAGGAGATCATCGACGACAAGACCAACACGGATATCATCAACATGCAACATGAGCCATGATAACCAGCAGCTCCCGGATACAAACAATCTGCATTTCCAGCCATCGCTTGCAAGTGGCTTCAAATACTACGTCGAGATTAACGGACCCAACTGGGAACGAGATCGACCACGAATCTTACGCGATCAACGGCCTCCCGTCCCTCACACAAGGGTATCAAGCGGCAGACAATTTTCGACCCCGACATGGGAAACTACGCCAAGAGGCTGCGTAGCGATACCCCACCGTAATACTCCGCGTGCAGAGCTACATACGGGGGTATTTCAAGTATATCGTTACTGCTCACAAGATACCGCGTCTACAGCATTTACGCGCTGTAGGGACGATGAGAGGGCTCTCCTGTCCTCCCTTTCCCCTTCCTTCCTTGTTCGGCCTCAAGACATAGGGTGGTATGGTGGCCTCTCTATTTCCCACGCCCCCTCCTAAACGGAGGCCAGGTCCCTGGTGGCTACTGGGGGGCCACCACGACCGGCGGGCGCGGGCGCGGACTGGGAACACACGAAGCCGTGCGCGCGCGAGGGGGAAGAAGAGCAACATCAGAAGAAAAAGGAAGATGGTAAAGAGGATCGGGAGAAACTGCCGACGCCTGACCGGACCAATCTGGATACCCCTGGACAAACCCCGAAAATGAGCTGCGCAAAAGGAGCGGAATCAGAGCAACTTTGGGAAAGAGAGGGAGGGAGGGATTGACAGAGAGAGAGAGAGAGAGAGGGAGAGAGAGCGAGGAAAGGGGAAAATAATAGGGAGAAGGGGGAGTTGGAGGAGTAGGGGAAGTGTGGGAAGGAGAAAGGAGGGAGGGTGGGCGGGTTTAAGGGAGGGAGGCGGGAGGGAGACAGAACGAGAGAGAGAGAGCGAGAGAGCGGGAGGGAGATGGGGGGAGGGGAGAGATGGGCGGACAAGGGAAGGGATCAGCCAGGGAGCGGGGGAAGGCATGGACGGGGAGGCGTGCGTGGATGGATGCGTGGGGCCTGGAGGCGACAGCGAGGCGAGCATGGGGGCAGAGGAGGGCGGAGCGCCCAGCTCAGTTGCCCCCGCGCGCGGCGGCGGCGGCCCGCAGCGCTTCCATTGCGCCCACCAGCCCCAGGGGCGCCCCTGGCGCCGGCGGCGCCCTCGCCCGCGCGGCCTGCGGCGATGCGACCGGCCGCCGCCGGCCCTGAGCGGGCCAGGCCGGCACCGCCGCGGCCTCCTTGCGCGGGGCGCCTGCTGCCTCCCTCGGTGCGGCGGCGGACTGCCGGGCAGGGGCCCTTCGCGGGGCCTGCGCCGCCGCCGCCCGGCGCGGGGCGTGCTCCCGCGGGGCTGCTGCGGCGGGCCGCCGGGCGGCGGGCGCGTCGGGAGCCTCCCGCGGCGGCTGCGGGTGCCTCCGCGAGGGGGCGTCCGCCGCCCGAGGCTCCCCACGCGCGCCCGCCGGCCTGCGGAGGGTGCTGGGCGGGCCGAGGTCTGGTGCACGGGGTCCAGGGCTGGGGCGCTGCTTCTTCTGGTGCTGCGGCAGCTGGGGCGGCGGCTGCAGCGGCCGGAGGGGCGGCTGCTTCTGCTGCTGGCTCTGCTGGTGCCGGGCGTGGTGCTCCTCCTCTTGCTCCTGCTGCCGGTGCGACGGCAACCCGTGCGTCAGCGGTGGCCCCTGCGGTGGCCGTGGCTGGAACGCCCGTGTGGCCGTTGCGTCGCTGCTCCCGCTCCTATGGCTGCTGCTGCTGTTGCGAACGGCCCCTCCATCTGTGTGACCTCGACTGCGCGAGCGGCCTTGCAAGCGCTCTGGGACCCGTGCACGGCCACGCCCTTCCACAGCTGCCACTGGCTCAGAACGTGCCTCTGCCTGACCGCAGCTCGTGGGAACACCCTCCACACGAGGCCGGCTGCGCGGGAGAGTAGCTCTGCCTGGCCGCAGATCGTGCGAGCCCAGTAGATCGTCCAAAGGCGCACCGAAAGGCTCAGATGCCACAGCCCTGCCCCTGTCAGAGTGTCGCGGCTCGACTGGCACCAGGGCGCTGCAAGACTCAGCGGGGCCAGCCGTCCTCCCGGGTGGGGTTGTGGGGGCAGGTTGGGCTGCCGTGCGAGAGCTCCGCGGGATGGAGGGCACTCCGCCTATGCCGCTCGCGCCGATAGCCCACCGCTTTCGCGCGGGGCTCGCCGCGTCGGTCCCCAGCGCCGCGCTCTTCGGAGCCGTCGGCACCCGCAGAGCGCTGAAGTCAACCGTGGCCGCCAGGTTGCCCTTGCGGCTGCGTTCGGCCTGCGGGGGCCGCGAGAGTGGGCATCGTCTTCGAGGAGAACAGCGTGCGAGCGTAGGTGGTTCAGCGTGTCAGCTCTTACAAACCAATCCCCTCTTCCCATTCGGGGAGGGGTGTGCTCAATTCCTTACCCCTCGCCAGGGAGTCGGAGCTCCGTGTCGCAAGGGCTTGGAGCGTCCATCTAGGGCCCGTTTCCAAGATGACGCAAAACGGACCAACAGATCCCCGGATAGCCGTCAAGGTCGCGCAAGCTTACCTTGGATCGCCTCCAGCATTGCCCCAAGCGACCCTGAGCAAACTCCAAGATGGCTCCGAGCTGGCCGCGACGCCTTCCAAGGAAGCCCCCGAGTTCAACCACATTGAAGCATCGTGTGTGTGTGTGTGTGTTGTCCCAAGCAGTTCAATCTTCGGGCCCTTGTCTCCTCGCCCTTCCCTGCTCCCCGCCTTCAATAATTGGAAAGTTGGGAGGGGCGGGGGCGCCAGGGGCTTTTTCACAGCAAGGTGGGGCCGTCCCAAATATTACATGATTTTCTGGCGACTTCGTCCGGTTTTAGACCACAAGACAAACCGACCGCTTTCAGCCCAACATAAAAAAAATCAGCATTGTTATATTTTGCGTTCTCCGCTCAAGTTCTTTGGCTCGAGCATGCCTTCAGATGGTGCCAGGGCAGACCTGACCGTTCCCGCGGGCCCACTCGAGGTGATCTTCATCGGCATCCCGCGCGGCAGCGGCGCGGGCGATACCTGCAGCTCGGCGGGCTCCTCGTGGGAGCTGATCGGGCTCGACAACTTCAACGAGGGGCAGGTCGACGACCTGCCAGAGGCCGTGTCGGAGGCGGACAGCTCCAAGACGGCGCACGTCGGGAGCGGCCCCCTTGGGCTGATGCTTTGATCGCTTTTTGTGGTGGTTTCCGATCCGATCGTGGAGCAATACATTTTCGGCGAGCCCGACGCCCTCGAGGCTCAGATGCCCGTGGAGCCATGCAGTCGGAGATACGAACGCCAAACGGCGACAAACGGCGTGGATGTGCATCTGGTGCGGCACAAGAACGGCAACAGCTGGGCGGTGCTGACTCCCGACCTGAACCTGGGATTGATCAGCATCACGGCGAACGCGACGGTGTTCTCGGACCCTGAGCTGGGGATTCCGTGGCGGCCGATGCCACCGCTGGGGGCTGCCCAGAAGGAAGCATACCTGACCCAGGCGACGGAGGGGCTGAAGGCGTCGACGGTGCTATCCTTGCCCCCATACCGCCTGGGGCGTACTGGTCAGCAGGCGATTGCGGCGAATGTGGTTTACGCGGTGTTCAGTTTGGGGAGGTCCCCACTAAAGACTCTGAGATGGTCGCTCCGCGGCCCGAAGCGGTTCTTGTGATCGACTACATGATTGAGGTGTGGGTGGCCCTGGTCGGCCACTTGTCGACGGCGAAGGAAACCTTCGTGGAGAGCTCGGAGTCGGTGCAGGAGTGGATGGTGTACTTTGGCGAGTGGAAGGAGTTGACTCAGAAGCTCATGCCGCTGCAGAGGTGGCTGGCCATGTTCATAGCCCTGGGTCTGCTGACCGCGTGGGTGGCTTACGAGTGGTCGGACCCCGCGGAGCCTGGCGAGTCCTCCGTGGGCTCGTCCTCGGCGGCTTCGAGTGTAGGCGGCGTTGCTGGCGTGCTTTCCCGCACAGCCTCCTCCCCTGCCACCGCCTGCTCATCCACCTGGGCTGGCCGCGGCCCTGGCAGCGCAGCTCAGCGACCTGGTGGAGTCCCAGAAGGCCATGGCGGACGAGTTCAGCGAGATGCGGACGGCCGAGCGTGCCCAGGAGCTTCGTCGTGGAGTCCTGGAGTCCTCGGGCGTTGCCCGTGGCGATGCAGCCGCAGAAGCCCACAGGCAGGTGATCGAGGGCATGACGGCTCGTCTGGATGGCTTCGAGGCTGGGTTGAAAGGGGAGTCGACTGCTGCCGCTGGCAGTGCAGAGGCTGCTCCGTCCGACGCGGCGGCCACCGCGGGCTCGCCCACGAAAGAGGCGCCGCCTGTCATCATGGAGACCCTGGAGAAGCGGAGTGCATCAAGCCCGCCCGAGGCGGTGAAGCTGGCCATCAAGCGGATGCGCTTCAAGGCCCAGTTGCCGCAACAAATGTTCTTGGAACAACTGAACGACTACGTGGATATCCAGTCGGAGGAGTGGAACAACCACATGCTGGAGGGGTACCGCCAGATGGTCGGAGGTCCACTTGTCTGGCAATACTGCAGCCTGGGCTCGGGACTTCGTGCGGGACAAAGGCCTCAACGACTGCAACACGGCGAGGGAGATGATCACGGCCTTCGGAGCTATGGACACTATGCTAATGAACGATCGGCAGAAGGACTTGCTCAACCAGGTGAGCTTCGAGCAACTGGTGTGGAAGGGCTACGCTCTCATGAAGGCTTACAGGAGCGTGCATTGCCGCAAGGACTGGAGCCGACCGAATGACGCGAAGGGCTGGAAGTCGAAGGTGGACTGGGAGGCCGCTCGCAGGTTGTGTCCGCAGCTGGCGGACGAGAGCACGATCAGGGTGATGAGCGCCGAGGAGGGCGGTGCAGAAGGCCATGGGCAGAGGCGCGCAGCTGATGAAGGCGCGAGCGGACCTGGACGGCGGGGGCGTGGCCCACCGTGAGCCACGAGGACCTTCAATTGGGATCGGCCGGCGACGAGCTGGAGGTCCCGTCTCGCCGTGTGGGAGGTGACCTCTCGCTGCGGCGTCCTTTTGCTATTGCACCCTTTCTGCCGTGGCTGACTGGCAGCAGCGTCATCGGCCACCACACGATTGCCTGCACGCCGAATTGGGGCAACTATGACACGGCGGCTCGACATCCTGTCCGAGGTTGTACTGTTCCCGCGGCCAGGGTGTCCGACTTCGACGTCTCGTCGGGTGCTCGCACGCTGGAAGGAGGAGGTGGAGACTATCGGGCGCGCCAATCATTGTCTTTTGGCGTTGCGGCAGCTCTACCAGGGGAGTCTGGACGACGGGCTGCTGGACTCGGTCGAGCGCTGGGAGCAGACCTGTACCCGACAACCTTGATGGGGACCTCTCCCGGCGAGCGCTGGAGGAGGTTCGTCGCCAGCAGCCGCCGCCGCCGTCGTCGCCCTGCCAAGGAGCCGCGATCCTGCGGCTGTTTCCTGCCGCCTCGGCGGCGGGCGCCCAGTCCTGGTCGACCTTCAAGCAGCGGGTGGCCGAGCTTCGGAGGAGGTGTCCTGGCGGACATGGGCGACTGCCAGACTGGGGCAAGACGTTTCCGGCCCAATGGGATCGTGTCGCGCTGCCTCCGCCAGGGTCCAGACCAGTGACTGCGAGGTCTGTGTCGCTTCAAGTGGCGCAGAAGATGGTGAATTTCAGGAAGGAGATGTTGATGGAGGATGGCGAGGAGCGCGTGGGGGCCTGCGAGCTTCGGAGCTACGCAGACCCGCGCTTTCGACGGAGGAATGATATGCTGCAGCTGGCCCGCAGGATGGCGATGGCGGGTATGCTGTGCTGGACCCAGGAGGTGGACGAGGTCGGGCTTTCTGCGCTGTGACGAAGGCCGAGCTGATGGAGGGGGAACCCGAAGTGGCTCTCCGCCTGACCTTCGACCATAGGCGTTCGAACACGAGGAGGCGAGTGCCTCCCTGGTGTGCCATGGGCGGTGTGAGCGCTAAGTCGTTCCTGGACGTATCGGAGGAGATGAAGGGGAAAAGGGCCTCCATGATCTACGGCACCGAGGACCTTCCGTACTTCTACTATAAGCTGGACTTGGGAGTGGAGGTGGCGGCCTACTTCGTCTTGCTGGGGGTGGTGGCCAGCGACCTCCTGGACATCCTGCCCAAGGGGACCGAGCTGTGCGGTCAGGGGAGCTTCATCGGCGTGAGAGTAGCCTAGATGGGGCTCTCGTGTGCCTGCTGGATTGCTCAGACGACCATGCAGGACATCTTCAATGCTGGGCCCGCTGCTGGGTTGCGGTCTTTGTCGGAGCGTCAGCGGCTAGCCGAGGGAGGTCACCTTCCCCTTCTCAGCCTGGAGCTGCCGACGGCGCGCTACGAGAATATCGACGACTTCGGGGATCATCCGTGTGGACATCCCGCCGAGCCCAGAGGGGGAGACGCAGCTGAAGGTGATGGACGTGTGGCTGGCGGCGAAGTCTCTGGTCACGTCTGCTGGGTTCGAAGTGCACAAGGGCGGCTGCTCAGGCTGCGTTCGCATGATCGGCGGGGGCTTCGAGGGGACTCGGCTGGCGCCGAACCAGGACAAGATGTGGCCCGCAGTGACTGGCATTAGGTCGGGCATGTCATCCTACAGGCTGATTTTGGAGGGAAAATAGGACGTAGTCAAACAATACCCAGACATAGACAAAAATAGTAGAAACATAGTCCTGAAGCTATTTTTGACAATTCTTGAATTTTCCTCCTGTAGAAGGACATGCCCGACTTAAGACTGGCATCTAGGAGATCCTCGTGCAAAGGTGGGAGGCGCCCGACGCGGTGTCGCGGATCGTGGGGATCTCGCCTTCGGGCTTTCTGATCTGCAGAGGGGCCCTGAGCATCTTTTCAGAAGTCTGCCTGTGGTGCATGGCATTTCGCGGAGGACCTCGCCGCGACGCGCCTCGGGAGGATGCGGATGCGGACGCGGATGCAACGATGCGGGGGTCACCCGCGCCTGGGCCCCTTCAGAGCGGTCGGGCTCGCTGAGACACGCGCGTGAAACGGGCAGTCCAGAAGGCACGTGCGATGTGAAACAACATGACGGGCAAGTGCACAACCATTCAAGGAGAGAGGGAGAGCAGGGAAGCTGGGCAGCCATCTCGGCGGCAACTGCACTATGAAAATTTGGCCTCACAGCGCGGCATGGGGAGGGAGAGGCGAGACATGGCCATCAATCCGTGCAACGCTGGTAAGGGCGACCGGGTAATCGGGCGCCCGCAAGAATCCAGTATAGAAGAGATGTCGACCATCGCCCATCTGTGCGATTGAGTGTCTTTAGCTATCAACGCCACCTTCTGG